GATTATACTAGATGATACAAGTATGTATATGAGTATAAATATTTTGTATAATATACATTTTTATAATTGGTTAAAACTGAAAACATAAACGCACCTTTCACATTTTCTAAAGTCATAAAAGTTTGCGACAGCCGCAAGAGTGTTATTGAAAACTACAGTTAAGCGTTGACATTAAATATTGCCTGTTGTCTTTTCGCGACCGCACACGCACATGCACACACATTTATATTCCAATTCTCCGTCGTTGACGTGGCTTGTTTTAATTGTTTATTTGCGTGTGTTTAACGGTTGCATTAACTTTCTTCCTTTTTCGTGCTAAACTGACTGAAACTTCCTCAACAGTTGTATGGCTTGTGGTTCGCTTTTATCTACAATGTGTCTTAAAGTAAATGTTTTGGTATTTCGTTTATGAGTGTGTGTCTTTCATTAGTGGGCACACATACATATGTATAAGCAATCAACCGCAACTTCCATTAGAAATTCGGTTAAATGTTTGAGTATTCCAGCACACACATAAGGTTGTGTGTGCATTTGCGTGGGTGTGCATTTGGGCAGTCTAATGTCCTTCCATTAAACATTAATTTGAAATCGATAATCATGAGTATGCATGTATTAGTTTAGTTAGCTGCCATATGTGACTGACGTGCCCTCATTAGTACATTGTATATTAACTATGTGGGAAAATTGCCATTTGTGAAGCGGAGAGTGATATTCATTGACATTTGAACAACATGCGATGTCCTTCAAATATTTTTAGTGTAAATTATAGTCATTTGAAGTCCAGATTTAGCCACATTGGACATTTTGGTTGTTTTGTTGTGGGTTTGTAGGGAAAATCTGCACCTTAAGCTGTGACGTTGATTAGTTGTATCGTTGATGATATATTATATACTCGTATATACAACACAACAAATCGACTTTTTTTGTTGCAAAAACTTCGTTCGTTAAAATACTTCCAGTGAAATAGTTCAACATATTTTAGAGGATGCGTTAATATTTCGAAAAATGAAAATAAGTTTTTACTGTTTATGATTAATTTCTAAAGTAGTAAAATTTATTTTATTTTTGCCTGATGTGTGTTAAAAACTTCTTTAAAGGCTAATAAGGCACAATATTGAAAATATGTGTATATAGTATGAAAATATACTTAGCTTCAAGAAATAAAGAAATGATAGAGAATAGTCGTCTACATAATATACGAGTGTTTAACGGTCAATGCACGCTATGGATCGCAAAGAAGAGCAGTGAAAATGTCGATGACCATGCAAGTCCTCACTTGCTCTTTTGTACGCGCGCGAGTCTTGGTTCACGTAAAAATATCGCTCACCAGCTACATAAATATTTTCTATTGAGCTGGCATGAGGATGTTTGAAATATCTGCTTAAGACTTTTCGATATGAACGAAGTCTGGTCAGTGTCATTGATTAAATAAAATGGGCAATATTAGCGAAACTAAATGAAAGCACTCATTAAAACTATTTGCATTTTAATGAATGCTGTCAGTACGCCATATTATATTTAATAATTTCGAAAGATTTTTTCAATTGAAAATTTATTCAGTTAATAGCAAAAAAGTTTGCTGTGAGCCAGTTACGAGTATTCTTCGACACTCAATAACTATACTTCATTACAATTCAGGATTAAAATAGCTGACAGTGCGTATACGCAACTAAAAGGTAAATGCACTCACTGAAAGAGATTATCTAATGATATATATATGTGTGCATAAAGCAATTTCATCTAATAAAAATTAATACTAAAATTTAAATTGTTAAATAAAAAATAAAGTAAAAACTTTTTGTGTACTTGCTTTTAAGTAGAATTAAATATTTTGTGGCAATGAAAGTCCTTGCCCACTGCAACCATTAACTTTCAAATGATATCGCTATAAAATGGCAGTGGCAAACACTATGGACCTACCGCCAAAGCGGCAATTAAATGCATTCTATCGTGAGAACTATAGAAGCAACTGACTAGCGATTCTACTGAAGATGTGCGTATATCCTCGTCTTAAGAAAACGATGCATCCATTTAACCACCACAACGAATAGTTTGCTATGGCACTGGTTGAAATATGATGACGACTGCTGCGGGAGAAATTGCAGAAAATAAACTGAATTGCTGAGCACATAAAAGTGGAGCAAATCAAATAACAAGAATCAAAATAAAAGAACAACAAAAACCGTTACAACAAGACAATACGGTAAGGAGCTGCACTACATAACGGCACTTTTGTCCGCGAACTTATAAAGTTTGAATTGCATTGCTATTTGCTGAATGCAGCCGGAGGTGCAAAGAGGGGCCATCAAGTGTGCAATTTTCAGTATGAATGCGGCAAAACAAAAGCACCATTGACACGATGGATATGTATCAGCGTGTATAAATTCGTATGTAATTACACAAGTGTAACGTGGCATGACGTTGTGGCAGCTGTCGATTCTTTTTTTGCTGGTAAAAAGTTTTCTTTCGAGTCCTCAACAACTTTGGTCGTTGCTAGAGTGATTGCAGTTTGATCTACCGTCGCGAGGAATGTGAGCCGATGGCAAAAATGAAATGTCCGGAATGAACTGTAATAACTGAGGTTATAAGAAAAACGATTGGTTGGCAATAAATATGTGGCAAGCAGGGACATTCATTCGTGAGGAGTGGGCAAATTCAGGCAATGCAGCCTTGAAAGACCTTATAGCTTAGAAAATATTTAAGTGCACATTTGCTTCAATTTGATACGCACTTCATAGCTTTTTATAACTTAAATGTCTAGTTACATATATGTTTGAACTCTCCATAGACAACAGCAGTTTTCAACAAAATGATAAAAAATGGGAAAGAGTTGAAAGTGAATGAATCATACAACGCATTTTCAACAAAGTCCAAAATTTATATCTATGTAACTATATACTCCAACAGCCAATGAATAATATCACATTTTATCATTTCAATATTTAATGTTTATCACTTAAAGCCTTTTACTTCATTCTTTCTTAATGCATTAGTCACGCAAACAGTAATGCGGGTGCTGCAATTCAGAATTATGCTTTGATTTCGCTTTAGTGACACACTCACAACAAGTACATTTGTATACTCACACATATATATATATCCTTGGATATGAGAACTTACGAAAAATATTGATTTTATTGCGAAAACGTGCTCCATGTGCTTCCACTCGACGGCGTTTGGATTGTTGGCTTCGTCATCTGATTTTATTCCCAATTTGTTTTATTGGTATTTTGACTGGTATACTGGCAACTTATCTGTCGATCTGTATAGCAAACTTTACTCTCGCCATACATACATATATGCATGTACATACAAAAACACTTTAGTGTGGATTATATTACCTTCTATGTCTATATGTTTTCATATATATGTGTACGTCTTTTTCTTTCATTGGCTAGTGTGGCAAGTGAACTACTTTACTTGTTTGCAGCGTTGTTAACATAAATCCTCACCTAATGGCCTGGTGAAATGGATACCATTTGCCTACAGTCGCTTCTATGCATGTATTCATCTGCAGGCACGTGTACATGACATACAAACAGATTTGTCTGCTTAGACATAGGTGCTTCCTCTTTCTTTTGTCTTATGGTGATTTAGATTTTGTGGTTTCAGTACTTAATCTTCCCGTTTCCACAAGTGTGATTTAGCACTTAAGCAAACGAATTTGAAAGTTGCTGGGGAAATAGTTATAGTTATGCTGGCTTTTCATTCGATGACATATATACAACCTTTCTACTGCTTATCCTCCAAAAAAGACATAGAGCAGTTTTGATATCTTATCATTTTAAAAATTTTAAGGAGTTTTCGAATGGGTTTTTTCAGTGGATATCCAAGTTCTTAAAATATTGTGTATATAAAGAGTTCTAATAGAGCCCTTCTATGTGACAGCGCTTGAGCAGAGGTAAATTCTTACTAACTTTTGTAGTTATTGGCCGCCTTTAGCGCGTTGTTAGCATTACTAGGCAGTTCATAACAGTGCTTATAAACTTTTGCACCCAATTTGAGTTCATTGTTGTCACTGTTCGTAAAAAGAATATAAAAAGTTTGAAAAATAAAAAAATCCACTGAGTTGTCGTAAAGAATAAGTTATATATATTCTTTTGTTTAAAAGCATTAATTAATGTTTGGCTAACAAAACCTTTTGATTGCTAATTTAATATGAGAAGTGCCCACATAAGTAAGGCCGCGAGAAATAAAAAAAGTCACAAATTAATATTTAAACACTTAACTGAAACTGAAACTGTAAGTGATTTTGTGAGATAAATAACATAACATGAATAAAATATTTACCATTTCGTCCACTTTATACACCATAAGAAGCTTAATCACGCTCGAATATAATAAGTGAGGGGAAATCAAAGTTTTTAGCAGTCGCAAAGCAGTCAGACAATGTTAATAAATATTTTACATACAACTGAAGAGCAAGAAGCTGCTATATTGTCGACATTCACTTACAACATTCAGCGTTTTCAGCACACATTTAATGTTGCAGGACTTCACACGCTTTAACGCAGCAAAATCCACCTGAAATATTTTACTCAAAAAACACCAATAACCAAAGACGCTACAGGCGTGCAATCTTTTCATAGATTTCTTGCGAATTCTCATATAATTTCTTCTCGATTTTCGTTTTTGCCTTTGGGCGTCTTTCGCATTTCCATGCCAAATACACGGTTTTATGCGCAAAAGTTTTATCAAAAAATAAAAAATTCTGAATGAGTAAAGCAAATTGAGTGGCGGAAACACTAAGAATGGATATAAAATCTATATAATTTGAGATAAGAGTCTTTAGTTTCCATTAGAGTGCAATTTATATATTAATCGTAAACGCACACAACTTATACTAATATTTATTAGAAGCTAATCCCTTAAAATGCTAAACAAAAATGACGACACCTAAAAGATTCTTCGTTAATTATGCAATTTTACAAGTTATGAATCTTTAATCCATAAGTATAAATATTTTTTAATTATGTCAGCATCACGCTTATTTCTTACAGACTCCACACGCAGACCCAGAAGTGTTCGCTGGTCAACATTCAAATCAAAAGTCATAATCAAATCATATCAGAAACAAACAATCGTAGCCTAGACTAAAACGTCAAAAAATCAAATTACGGCCGTAATTGAACTAGAAAATGTCGACTTCTGTACAAAATTTTAACAAATCGCCAAACGTCATTGACTCCACAGCGGTAATGTCGGCCACCGCCGTCGCTGCCAGTTCCGCCATTCAACAACTCTCGTCGATATCGCTAATGCTCGAGTACGACATTGACAACACACTGAACACCATCAAAGAGAATGGTGTACATCTCATACAACAACAAGAACGACAAGCGCCACAACAAGCACACCATCCGCCGAAGCATGTGAGCCAGCCATCGACCCTTACAAATGAAGCTTTAAAAGATATTAAACCTGTGCTGCCACCAACACCACCAGCCACGCCCAACTTGGCGAATACAGCGCGCAAACGCTGGAAGATTTTAGCGAAAGTATTGCGCAAAGATTCCGAGGAGACAGTCTCGTCGTCGGGGGAGGAGTTCGGTGAGGAGCAAACGGCCTCGGTGCGTCGCTTCAAGTCATTCGACTTGTTGCGCCAGGACAGCTTCGAAGATCATATGACACTGAACTGCCTGGGCAAACCGGAGAACTGGTACAAATACAGTGTGTTGCTCGATGGGGAGGGTCAGCAGGAGTTCACCGTTAACATACATCACGTGGAGCGTCAGCTAACAGCCAGTGACCTAATGGGCTTCAATAACACCGGCAACATTTGTGTGTGGCCCTCAGAGGAGGCATTAACCGCTTACGTTCTATCCGACGTCGCTGCGTATAGTGATAAATGGATATTGGAATTGGGTGGCGGATTCACATGCTTAGCTGGGCTTATGCTCTCCAAGTACGCTAAGCCTTATGCGGTGCATCTCACCGATGGCAACGATGTGTCGGTGGAGAATGTAAAGAAGACAGTATGCTTGAATGAGCTCGCCTGCTACACAAAGTGCTCAGTGCTCAAGTGGGAGGATGTGAGTGCGCGTGCTACGGCGGAGGCTGGGAAATTCGATGTCATCCTCTCCGCCGATTGCCTGTTCTTCGATGAAGCGCGCTCGTCGCTGGTGGAGACGATTTGGTATTATATGGCACCCAGAGGTGAGGCGATAATAATGGCGCCAAGACGTGGAAAAACCATGGCGATGTTTGTTAGTGAGTGCACGCGAAGAGGCTTCGCAGTAGAGATAACACAGCGCTATAATGAGACCATATGGAAGCGGCACGAGGAATTGATGATGACGTCCGGTTTGTACGACGAGGACTTACACTACCCTGTTCTGTTGCGTCTGCGTAAGCCCTTCATAGGATAGAAAAAACAAGAAGAATGCTCTGCGAAATATGCAAGTCTTAGGCTTTATTCTTACCAAAACACGTGCAATTGTAAACAAAAACAAAAAGAAAAACTAACAAAATAGTTCATAGTCATATTGTAAGGAACCGATTTTGTATTATTCCAATAATTCCAAGCACTAATGACGAAATTATAAATATGAGATTTGTATTACGAAAAATAGTATGTAAATTTTTGTCGCGTATTTATGCGCGCAAACAAAATGGTAAATGCTTTAAAAAATATAGTACACAGGTTTTTATAGCTTTCCCAACTACACCATAGACAGAACAGCGGTTGAATGGCGGTGCCTCGAAATCGGTTTTAAGGGAGTAAGAGATCTTTCTTGACTGGAAATTGATTAAAAGTGGAAGTGAATAAACAGTGTTGCCATATTATTAATTAAACTCATATCTCACCGACTTTTTCCAACTAAAATAAGCTTGTTACTGTGAAGAACGAATTTTTAAGTAATATTTTTATATTTTTAAATATTATCACATTACATACAATATATTTTGTACAAATATTGTTAAACATGCTTATTTTGTATCTTAACCCTATTCCGAACTCTTGTTTTTTTAAATGTCCGATTACAACTTGTGGACATATTGTCTCTCCCATAAAAGGATTAAATGAATCACTAAATGATAAAATGATGTGTCCCTATAAAATTTCCTAAGTCCTAGTATAAATTAAAAGTATTATTTTAGAGTTACCATGTAGAAAAAAGTAATTTTATTAAATCCTTACATTACGTTAAACTGTACTTTTTAACTTTAAAAACTAAATTTATTATAGAAAAGTTAAGTTTTTTTATAATATCTATCATTTAATTAGGAAATAAGCAATAATTTACTAAATTAATACTCATATGTGGTTATAGATTATTTCAGAGTTTTCTGGTATTATTTGTTATATTTTCTTTGAACTGAAATATATGCGAAAGTTTCAAACTTATTTTGACAGTGAAATTTCTCCATATTTTTGAAGTATATGTTTTTGCTTTAATTTTAAACTTCTTTGCCTTTTCAGTTGCCAACCTAATTTATTTACTTGGCGAGTAGTGAATTCCTGCATAATCGTACATGCAAATATATTTAAAGTGAAACAGTATCCTCAAAAACCTGGCCCACAAACGTGAAATGTACGTGAACCCGCTCGTTCGTAACCCTCAACCATAGTATAAATATTGTATAATAATATATACCTATATATACAAATTTAAGTAAACACACACACACATATATATAAAACAGACAATTGAAAAAGAAATTAGAAGTAAGTAAAAAAAAATAATGGAGAGATTAGTATTTCTGTAGTGAAGCGGGTTAAAGTAAAGTCTGTAAAAGTACTTATGCTGATTAATTAATTACCATGTTCATATATACTGTTACGTAAAAAAGGTGGGCTATTTAGCTATAAATATTCGATGGACTGTGGAAATCTAAATATTGTTTAAATTTAATATTAAACGAGACCTCTCTTTAATAAAAATATATGAATCTGTAAAACCATAAATTTATATTTCTGAGCTCATTTTAAGGAACTGGCAACTTAATAAAGCCAGTCGAAGTAGGCGAATAACGCCATTAACGTGCAACAACGAAAATGAGTAGCTTGTTCTACTTTTAATGATCCCACTTTGGATAACTATCAACAAAAAAAATTCACGAAAATTCACCACTGACCTAAACGCGAACAACAGTGACCAATGCGAATGACATACTTGCTGACGATTGTCGGAATACGCGCCAAACAACAAAAACAAAAACGCTTCAGGTAAGTTATCAGCAGGACAACGGAGCTGTCACAAATAAAGTTGTGAAAGATAAACTTGTAAATGGAAATGTGAAAGGGAAGCGAAAATCAGTGCATGGAAAGACATAGTGGACATGTCATCCGAATCGGGTCACAGGGGGGTTAAGGTAATGTGTACAAATGCGACTACAATAGCCAACAAAGTGGTAATGACAAAGGAGATTTGCAGGAGAATGTGCACAGGACACGTGACTGTCGCACTGCTCACAGTCTGCTTTAATACGTACCTAAAAACATATCTACAAACATTCATATGAAGAGCGATTGAAAGAGCGAAGTGTAATGCATCAGTGTTTCGCTAGGGGCCAATAAGCAAATAAACGTGAGGAAAAGAATTATATGTGCAAATACGAATAACGGTACTTGGGCTAAGTTTAAAGCAGAAAATTAAGCAAATGTGTGCATTGAATGAGGTTTCGAGCAATAAAAAGGATTTAAATCATACAAGAGATTACTATACGCAATATAAACATAAATACTTATATGTAGATATATTGTATTGGTATAAAATGTAAAGATTGTTCTTTTTTAATGCCGGGAACTTAATTCCTTTTTGGTGTATACCCCAAGCCCCAAGTTATGGGTATTAGTAGCTGTATTCTTTTCGTATATAATATACACATTTATTTATGAGAATTTTTCATTTCTTGTGTAACCTGTACATTGCTTTAAGCCAGAAGCTGACATTTTTCGCTTCATTGACGCTCATCCCGAAAATAGAACAACCACCACAAATAAAACCTAAATTAGGCGTTTCACGGCCCACGCATATACGTCCCCATTACCACACAACTTGAGCTCGCATATACGCACAATCATACATACATATAATATAAATATATAAATAACAATGTTTGTAAGATAGTTAGATAGATCTGCGCACAACACCCAGTCCACCGACAACGCTGGCCCCCATCGCATGTCTCTATTGTTCGTATTACAACGGGACTGGGGACGCCTGTACTTAACTGGTATGCGTGTGCTTTATTTGTTTCCTATCGCATTGGAATCTCCAAAACAGTTCATTTCCGTCACATAGCGGCTTGTAAGAGCGTTGAAAGCGGTCGTTTGAGCAAATATGTAGAGGATTTCAATACAGAGAACAGGTGTGTGAGTTGTGGCGGTGAGTGTGTCGACAATGTCAATATGTAAATACAAATAAGGCATGTAAATATATACATACATATGTAGTCTATGAGGTGGGAGTTCCTGTTACTGGATGTGAAGCATATGCTCAGGCCGCTAACAAGCTCGTTAAAGAGACAGAGTTCTAATAAATCAAAAAGGGCGAATTAGAATTTTCACGCACTTTTACACATACTTGACTGCGTAGATATGTCTAAATATGTATATACTACGCATGTGACAATGCACGATTGTCTATTTGCAAAGCTAATTAATTTTCTCAAAATTACGTAATTTAGTGTAAAAATTTACAGCTATTGCTTTGGCTTTTAAAATTGCCTGAATAATTTGTGACTCGACATGAAATGAAAAGGCATATGGAGCAATTCACATGGAATAATTTGCATAATTTATGAAGACGGTGACAAAAGTAAGCGTGAGCTCATTGAAAAGCCGCTTGAAAAAATTACAAGTGCAACGGTTGTTAAATAGTTTAGTGTGCTTTTTCAAATACGAAACAATTACAACAAATCGTTTACTGTCCGATTTATGTCATATTACAGCAACTTAACATAAAAACATGCAATTTTTAAAATAAATTTTAGCGACTAAAAGAAATAGTTATTTGAAAAATAAGCTAAATTTGTATTTAGAGAGAGTATTTCCAAAAGCAGTGAATTGCGAAAAAATATATATATTTTGCATTTTTTTAAGGAAAATATTGAAACATTAAATTTAAAGATTCCCTCTATCTAATATATAAAACCACCACTGTAGCATTCGAATCTATGAATGAAAAGCTCTTTACTGTATTTGTTGGCTTTACGACAGGTATGATCAAATAAGCTCTAAAACATGTTCGCTATCAGCTAGAGAACCCAATCGACAACTGGCACTGAACTTCTGCTCTAAGTGACTTTGAGCGTTGATTTTTGGTTAAAAAATACTTAGTAAGTATCTCAGATATTTAGGAGGATATCTCAATGAAACGATATGACAAATCTTGATAACTAAAAGCTTGAACTGGCCTCTTCCTTAATTGTTTCACATTGATTTCATCAAAAAGCTTATTTGAAGACATATTTCCGTTCAGTCTCACTACTCATAAGGAATTAATTAGTAAATTTTACGGAAGGGGAAGGGCAGCGTGTGATCGCTAGAGCGAATTAAATGTGTTTATTTGTAGGAGTTCATGTTGTTTAATTACTTTTTACACTTGAGCGGTTTCTTCTATATTTGTAAAGAATACTCACATATAAAAATAAATATATATATGTAATTATATACCGACATAAGCTTACATATGTACATATACGTATATTAACCTGCATACTGTGCGTTTTGTACGAAGGTACAACGGAGCGAACTATGTAGGGGTGGGTATTCCTGACTGATTTTCAAAAGTATTAAAGCGCATAAAAATTAAAACGATTTAGCATTTATTTGCTTGATTTCCATCGTATTGGCAATTTCGTGCGTGAACTCGCCTTCATTTTTCATACCAACATATTCACAAAACCTTTATGTCTGAGCTCATAAGGCTAAGTGATTTATGATTTTGATTCTGTTGCGGCTAAAACAAATCTCTTTTTGCGTAAATTGAATTTTACGACATTCAATTGTCGCCGCACTGCTTAAGGCAGCAACACACACATGCAAAAAAAGAGGCAACAACAAGCCATCTAAGTGTGAGCATGTGCAACCCTTTCGTTGTTCGTTCCAGTTGAAAAACTCGTCCCTGGTCGCCGCCACCCATAATTCATTGCGCTTACAAGCTTTATGACTGTTCATCGGTCCGAGATATGTATAAATGTATAGTTACACATATCCCTACACCTCGCCCTGTGTGTACAGTGCACCCTTAACTGGGCTGGTGACCTGCCAAAAATGTCACGAACAACACGAACTCCGACTCGTAAATGTATCAATGTTACCAAGCGGAGAGATTTAGCAGTCGATTCTGGTAAGTAGTATTTCTAGTAGTGCGATGTATGCTAACGAATGGCCCTAGGACCCGTAAATTAATTGTTTATACACTCGTATACAAGTATGCGTGGGAGGGAAACTTAATTGAGTTTAGTGGAAGGAGTTAGTTCAAATTAAATACTCCGTACATTTGCACTCTGGTAGAGGCACTCCCCTAATCCACCCATCCAAACGAAATATATATACTTGTATGTGCACATGTATGTATGTATGTAGTCAATTACTTAGTTTTGTGTCTGTGCTTCGCTTCGTTCGTTGGGTCAGTCGCCGCTTAAGTTGGCGACGGCCACTCTGCTGTGTCATTACCATTGACAATGGCAGCTAAAAGTTTAATGATGTGCCAAAACATTGCAATACTTATGTTGTTGGAATAACCATGACCGGTACGAAAGAAGATATTTGCAGTTGAAAACTGAAAAGGGCAAATTCTTATAAATCGAAATAAAAATGACAAAACGAATCCGCAAAAAGCTTTTTAATGTCTATTAAAACAAAGTCTTGTTCAAAAACCTAGACTCGCTTAAAGCATTCACACTTCTACTAACGCATTTACGGTTTTCGCATTTGCTCCTCTACTCTTCATTTCTTGCCAGCATGTAAAGAGCGAGGTGCTGAAGATGAATTTTAAAGTGCCAGCATTGTTGGCCACGGATTAAAGCATAATTTCCTCAGGGAAATAAGGGAGAAAGCGCAGCGATGCGCTTACATATTATTTGCGCTTTTTAATTTCACTTAAAATTTTTATTACGAACCCATTTAGGAGAACATAAAAAGCAAAGCTGTTTGGAATGGCAGTCACATTTTATTGCTGATCTCTACGAACGTTTCTATAGAGGATATGGTTTTTATCTATGAGTATACATATGGAATCGTTATATCTAAATGCAAAAATGTATGGCTGAGTGAATTCATCTGATACTTTGCTAAATGAAAACGAAGTCACTGTATTGGGTTGTTTTAAATTATATATAATAATTAATTAAAATATAAAAATAAATAATTTAAATATGTACACACATCTATAAAATGTGGATTTACATAAAACCACCAGCAAGGAGATAAAGAAGATTATAATATCAAACATTTATATGCACATGTTCTTATGATAAATTGAATATTTTATGACTACAACTCGTCAGTCGTGACAATCAGTTTTCAATTTACAATTTGTTGTTGTTATTGTTAATCACAGCTTACTACTCTGGCGACAGCAATTATAGTCACCAGCACATTAGTGATGATTACAAACTGTTTTGTTTATATTTGCAGGTGAGAAATCGAAAACCAGATTTCACAGCCAAGGCAAGTGAGTTGTAAAGAGTATATATTTGTAAACAGTTGTGGCAAGCGTAAATTACTCTTCGTGATTACTCTTCGTGTGGTAGGTGGGCGATTAGTGGATTTATTTGCGTTTATTGACACATATTTCTTATTTGCCTTTCAGCACAAAAGCGCAATGAAAATTATCCTACAAATGCCTGTCGCACACGTCCGACTATGAGCGCATAAGCGCCCCTCTTTTCGCGGCCTTCCTTGCCGCAATTGTCGAGGCGCGCATGACTGTGTACACAAGGCCAGCGGCACAAAAGCGGAGGCGAAAATAAATATATAATGAGCAAATAGAAGCCAGAATGCTTGATGATGGCAAAGGGGGGAAAATATAAATGCCTGTTAATAAAGTGGCACCGGATATTAACGGTAATTTTTGTAGTAGACATCCTTAACACAAATGCTTTGGTCATTGACGGACCGTTGGTCGTTGCTAATGCAAATAAGAATGATTTATGAGTCTTTAGTAGCACTTAATTACACCCAACCAATTCAAAAGCAGTAGAGCACATTCATACAAATGTGTGTGTAGTCTGTACTAGTGTAAATGTGTATATATACAAGCACATACATATATGGTGTTTAGTGGCGCTAGAAAACCAGCAATCCGATAATAAAGGCTATTTTGCTTTTGACAGTTTGTATGAAGAGTGAGGGTTTGTATGGAAATTTCAGTGAGTTTTATTGCTTTGAATTTACGCATTTTTATTTTAGCTAATTTTTCAAAGAAACATCAACACATACCACACTTATTAGCTCTGCTTCTGTCGAGTTCACAGGGCAGTCATATACTCATCAGCGATAGAAAGTTACTGGCGCCCTTTTCGATATTTGGCTTTTCACCAATGTAAATTCCAAATTCATAAAATATGTTTTTAAACAGTTTTACTGTACCAAATGGCTGCGTAAAGAAAGAAATCTTAATGTATGAAAACCAATTTTTTCTCACATAATCGCAACTAAAATGGACTATAACATAAGACCCTCTATTCATTGCACAATCAAGGCACAAAGAGCTACTCTGGCAACTAACTTTTTGGAATATACTTACGTAAGCGCCATATTATTGTTACATTACTACTAGCAGATAAAACGGAAATAACTTATGGATTTGCCTATCAAGACAATAACAAGCCCCCAAAAGGTCATAGTGAATTTATCTGTATGTGAAATACAATATTTTTGCATTTTCTAAACATGTTGCAGATTATGTTCTCGTCGTTGCACAACAAACAAATTATGGCATTTTCATTTGCCATTTATTCCATGCCTGAGTGCGTTTCGTTATCAGTGCTTTGCAGGCTGCAGTTATTTACATAATTGTGTGGAAGGATAAATTTATGCAAGCATACAGCATGCGAGTATGGAGGTGACGCCCATATATCTATATATACCTGTATATAATATTATAATATGTGTAAAGTTTTCGGATGCTCTGTAAGAGTGTGTGAAAGAATTGTTTCTACTGTTATATGTATAAATAATTGCTTGCATGCTTAAACTAAGTCATATTATATACTTCCAAATGTATAAGCACAGATTACGATTGTATTTTTGCATTTAACTTCAGAGCTTTAAAACTTATGGAAATTTTTATAAAAAATTCTTATTACTTGAAACGAATAGACGCATGCTTAAAATTAACCAAAAAAGAAAACTATTTCTAAAAATGCACGATATTCCAACAAAATTGTAGTGCGCTAGCCCAAAATTGCTTATTTATACTAAGACTTAATTTAATGCCTGTGGCGCAGAATAAAACGCAATAACAACTCTGCTATATGCGCTGTTTTCACAAAGCTTGGCAGTTTAAGTTTACTCAGCTCCCGGTGTTCAACATTATCGCCCCATCCACTACTGCCCTCTCCACTATTCCTCATTATGCTGTCATCAGCGCTGAGCACTCATAATTATGTCATTATTGCCATTGAATGGATCTGAATTGATGCCTCTCAGCGAATATTGAGTGAATAAGAGGCATATGGCCACCAATTCATAATTCGACACTCATCCGCTGGCAATGCGCTACTCCACTTTAACAGTCGATTGGAAGCATTAAACACCTTATTATCGATTTGTAAAACATCCAAAAGGAACAGCAAAATTGGATCAAATTATGTTAAGCCGCTTGTGGTCATTTTTCCTAAGCGTGTTTTTACGGCGTTTGCATCTTACTTTCACATTCGCTTTTAGGTTTTGCAATTTATTTCCTTTTTCCTTCTTGCCATAATTCAGATTTTAAGATTTACTGCGATGCATTTTCGCAATAAACGTCGTCGGAGTGTGAAGTGATGAAGTTTGAAAAATTGCATGAGAGTAATCAGGAGCCAAGTATTCATGCAGTTGCACCTACTTTCATCTATTTGAATAATTTTTAACTGCTTTATTATCACGACTTCGGCTAATTGACGTTTATCATAATTAATGACTGCGGGGAGGAGGTGCATTTAATTGTTATAGTGTTAGTGCATGTTCGAAATTGGCGTACATGGAGGTTCGAAATGTATAGAATAGAGTTACGCTGGTTTTAACGGATTTGCTTATTTAATTGTCATTACTTCAGTAGAGTTCACAATTTTAATGGGTGTAAGTATTAGTCTTCATCTGCGGTTAGTTTGAGCGAAACTCATTTCTATTATTTTTTTAATAAATACCCCTTTTTAATCTTTTTGTAGCCATTTGATTTGTAAGTTATTTCTATTAGTTTGCTCACTGCTGTATATACTTGTACCACGTGTGGCTACTTCCACTGGAGACTGAATAAAATGAAATTAAGACAGTATTTTATGTCTCAGTCTACTTTTATAGCCATCATCATATTAAATGAGTACCTAGTTTGGCAAGCTTTATAGCAAATGACGCAGCTAAAAATTTATAAAAATGTTTAAGAAAATCTGCTAAGCTCTTTTATAGTATAAAAAGAATACTAGAATTCTAAGCAAGTAACTAGAACGTTTATGATTTACTTTCAAAACAAATTTTCTTTGCCGCCAAAACACGAGATAATCGGAAATGTAAACTCACTTAGCTTCTCATACGATATTTTCGCTCTCCCGCAAGCAGATGTTTTGAGTAAAAGCTCTACCGTGCTCTGTTTAACTTATCGTGCCTCTCTGTTTATACCCAAAAGTACTCAAGTAGTGTTCTGCGCACTCGCATTCAGCCTTGGCAATGACAGAAGGCCGCAAACCGGCAACTGCTGCAGCACAACAAAAACAACAGCAGAAGTTCGTATAGCACAGCCGTGGCTCAATCTATCAAGCGCTGCCGACAATGACTTTTGGTTGAGCTTGCAGTTGCCACAACCGAACAAAATCAGTTGTTAGCCGCATTGATGAAAGAGCGCACGCGTTTACGGCTGCGCAAAAGGTGGTGAAAAGCGAACGCAGAAAATCGACAAGAAGTAGTGTAGTCAAACCCTAAGTGTTGTAGAAATTAAAATAATTTTAATTAATCGATTAGTGTCGTGCAGTTCACACACATATTCTATCGCGATAAATTCAAGGGCCATAATTTTTTGCTTTTAATTGTAGGACGGACGCAGCGTGTTCTTTGTGTTTTTTTTTGTCGTGATATTTATACGCTTGTATGTGTGTAGGCAATAGTCTACTTGCCAGCGTAGAAAGTGTTGCGCTTATTAAGCGCTACTTTGTGTAAAAGCAACAAAGCAATTTTTTTTTCAATTAAAGTCACATTCAAAGCATTTAACAAAAACAATAAATATCGCAAATAATACAAACAAACTGCGAAGAAAAAACTCTTTGTAACAGTAGACAAATTGTTGGAAATTTCTGTTCCAAGCTGTGATCGCACCTTTGGCCGAGGGTAAAGATGCGCTTTCGTTCCAGAACCGCATTATTGCTGCCTAGCTGCTGCCGTCCGTCAATAAAGAGCGGTGGACGCCGGCGAACTGCTGCGAACAACAAAGCTGGTTACAACATTCTGCTTGCTGCCCTTCTGCTGCAGGTGCTAATAGCCGCTGCTGCAGCCAGCGCTGTCACAGCTAGCGCTAGCGGAACGAAAGGATTACAGCGCATGCGGGCAGCGAAGGTGGCGCACGTTCATGGCCTGCAGGCAGTGCCGGAGAGTTTAAGCATAAACAAGTCGCTGACAAAGGACAAGCAAAACAGATACATCGACGACAACAATCATTTGGCTGGCAAATACGGTGAGTTCAAAGCATGATGATGTAAGCAGGATGTCAACGATTTTTCCAATTGTCAAGTGAAAAGTTACCTAATGGTTACAGTTACCAGATATACTCGTACTGAAAATAACGTGAGGGATTTTGCGGAAGCGTTAGCAATGAGATTCCAAGAAAAGCAAGATCTAAACGTTTATTATCTTTTTATTACAATAGGATAGTTAATTAATAGCTTTGGAAACTACTTAATTGAGTAACCATTCAACTATAGTGGGGCTATCCTATGAACGCCTACTCTAATGTGTTTTATGAGAAGCCTCTTCATATAATAAATATTGTCGACAGTTTGATGTTGCTGAACGAGAGGCACTAACTTTTTTTAAACTGCGCGTTCAAAGCCCATTACCCATTATTATACACACTGTTGTGTATATATACTTGTGGTACTTACTTAAGAATATTTACTATATTTACAATTTATATTATATAGCAAGTTAAAAATAAATCATAAATATTGCAAATAAGATCTGGAAAACCTTTGATAATGATTTGTAATCAAAGGTAAATAAGCAAACATGAACAAAATCTATAAAAAAGTTTTTGTTTTGTTTCGAGGCTTTGTGATTTGCTTTGATTTCTTACTGAAAGAACTGTTATCTATATAAAGTTGAAATATACTTGTATCAACTTATGCCCTTTAAGTGTACTTTATAGAGTTATTTGCTATAATGAAAAAAACTAATACGGTTTAGATAGCATTCGAAGAATTTTTTACATATTTCATTGCCGATTTTGACACCGAAAACGCTCTAATTAGTCAAAAACTTGAAATGCGTACTACAACTCGAACTAACAGGTATACATATATCTTATATCTATTGAGAAAAAAATAATTACCACTTGGATTATTTATAAAAAATAAATAGCGATGTGAATTTTTTTAATGTGGTCAGTACTTTAGTATGTTATTATATATTAAACCTAATAAGAACAGGTTCAGTGTAGATTTATGATCATTTTGCAAAACAGCAACACAATAGCTTTATAAGTCGAGGTCTTAGGACATTACAACAATAACTTTACGCTTAAAAAATATAAGCTTTAGAAACAATCTTTTAACGCAACGATGATACTGACTAGCTCAAATCCCAATTATAATTTACCCTAACCTAACTTTAGCAGGGACATTTTTCGCGATATATGATTCTAACTTTCAACATTAAAAATTTCTTGTCTATTTGCCATTTTTGTTGTCAGAACCGTGCTACATTCTATTATTTGAATATAACACAGATATTAAAAAAAATAGCTATAGAAAGGTAGTAATTATTTGAAAGAGTATATTTATATCTATGCAAGCATGCATTAGCCATAACTATACTTTTACATACTTCGAACTTAGCCCCATTATTTGGCCGCTATTCTATAGCAAAGATGAGAAATAAAGCGACTTTGCTCAGATTCTGCGGTGGTCTTTTGCACCTACATCTCTCTTCCTTCGATTCTTCCCGTTTAACGGCGTGAGACTCATTGCTCAGCAGAAGAAGTACCTAATTACCAAACGCTGATTACTACTCATTAGCATTATTTATATTTAAACACTAATTAGGCAAAAATCAAACGAAAACGCTTGCACAAAGAAACCATAAGAAAGCAACAACAAATTTCCAAAAACAAAAACAAAAATTAATTATAAACAAGGCTTTTGCTTTTCCGTAAACAATTGCAAATTTGGTGAGCGCAACTTTGCTTTCTTCACAACGTCGCTTAAGTTCCGATTTCGAGGCCAAAAACAAAAGACTTAAGCTACGAACCAGCATCACGATTAACAACTTGTCTGTCGCGCTCTTGCAGACATATGTATGCTACGGTAAGCGTTGGTGTTGCGTTAAATCTTTATTGGTATGTCATTCTTGTGTTTAACGGCGAATTAGAAACAAAACCCTTAAACAATGCCAACGCGTGCATACTTGCAACTTTCAACGTGAAATTTCGAAGAGGAAAATAATTAATACAAATGCGCATAGAAAAACTTCATGTGCCAACGAAACGCCTTAAATCTAAGAAAGCAATGCCAACAACAACATCGTGTACTATTAGACGTGACCACAGGCGGCTTGTCAGGCAGACAGTTGAAAACGTTTAGAAACTGCGCGGACAATTAATGAGGCAACAATTGCATTTGGCATTTTTACACATATTTTGTTGCTGTAACCATTATATGCTGATCGCCTTTCAACGCTTTGCTGGGCTTCGCGTGGCTTTGTCACTGCTGGAGTTTGAATACAAGATTGTATGGTTTAATTATATATAAAGAAATAATAAAAGGGAGTAAGCGGAAACATTGCCAAGATCATCCAGAAAGCAAGCAAGTCAGTGGGTCAGTCGACTAGAGCATTTATGGCTAATGAACACACACTTACTTATATACGTAGGTGCAAAGGCAGTAACTCAAATGGCAACGACAGTATATTGCCCATCCAAGCACATTAGAATATGTGAAGAGTGAATTTCTGTATTAAGCCCTGAATGAGGTTATCCTGTATTAAATGAGAAATGAATTGATGATAAATGAAATAATTAACTATTTATACCATGTTTAATGTTGGCTAGGAGAACTTTAGACAAAACAAAACATTAACAAATATTATAAATATATATAAACATTTTCCTAGTTTTTCACTTTACTTATACAAACTAACAAACTAATTCACGAATTTATATATTATTGCTCCAGCTGTGCGCACATATTCTCTTACGAAATTAATTAGCTTGTTAGCTAAGATTAGAAATCTCTCTAAAAACTTTCGTTTCTCTGTTAACTGCTACTAAGGTAACCACTGAGTATATAAAATATTACCAAAAGCAGGTGGCCACTAATGCATTAATATGCAAATGAGGGGAGTACAAGTGCTCTAAATCTGATTTACTCATTTATTAAATGGAAAACTCTCCAACGAAAATGAACCAGGTATACAAATGGAAATGAGGCTAAGATTTCAGTGGCCATTATCTTTCAAACAATAACAAAATATTAAGCAACAATATTGTAATATAAAACTTGTTTAAAATGTGGAGAATGAATATTTGAAGACTTGAAATTAAAAGTCACGCAATTACGAAAGCAAATGTAGCCGCCGAAATGATTTGACAAATCCTGAAAATTACAATAACAATGAGTTGGAAGCGAGGAACTGGCAACGCGGACAATATGTTTTGATTGTTCAATACAATACAAAAAGACAACAACTTAAGACGCTTGTGTAATTGCATAGCGCGCTCTTTCCCATTATCTTTTTTTATTGTATTTTTTTTTTTTTTTTGTTTTGCAATCTCAGTTAAGTGTTAATATATGAATGCTTTTCGTATTAATTAAATTGTGTTGTAGCATGAAAAAGTGAAAGTTTGCTCCAATAGATGCGGCAACGCACTGATTACCAGCACAATGGCGCTGGCTGCGCTGGGAGTCGTCTTTGATTTTCGGGCGGCATAACGAGAGATTAGATGGTTTGTTATACTTTTCAATGGGCATGTAATAAATCATTTACTTAAGCGCTTATGAATTTTTCGAAAAGCTTTATGATGGATCTTAAATGGTTGCAGCATGTGGCTGAAAGTGAAATTGGAGCACAAATCGAATCAAGCACGAACCGTATTGAACGCGCCAACTCAAGAAGTACAAAACAATAGCAGCGCACTGGCTTGTCGCTTAAGTCTTTCGTGAGCTCACTGGAGCGATGTGGCGGCGGTGTCGGTGTGCGGCGCTTTGGTCACAGTTAAGAATGAAAGTCTATAAAATTTAATGAACCGCTGCAAGATGAGTTGGTTAAGTGGTTGCCTTTGTTTGTGCATTTGCGGTTGAAGAAAAACAGAAGTAACGCAATTGAATTCGTGCGAGCGGCGTGTAAATTGTGTGAGTTGTTTGCCGTTTTATGTTGGCGTTGAAAGTGCAAATATTTATTTTGCACTAAAATTGTCAAATTAACTACAAACATTGATTGCGCTTCGCAATTGCTTGTGTGTGTGTGCGCGTGTGTGTGTGCGCGCTAGCTTTCGCCTCACTTGCGCCACAAGCAACGCCTATAATGAGACACTAGCAGAACGCAACTCGTTCTGGCGCTGTGGTGCGGATTCTAGTCACGTTTTTTCAGTGCAGCGGCTTAGCACTGACTTTCTTTTCACATACTTTATTTGGCAGCTTTTCATTTGTGCGGGTATGTGTTTGCGTTTTTCCTTTTCGGATTTTTTTCTTGAAGCGCAATATGCAAGCGTTACACCTTCAAAGTCAGCTCCACCCCGTCGATACCGACAACTTAAACATATTTTATCACACACTGTCGACGCGGTGAATAAATGACGCTTGCCACATAAATTGTCAACTTAACTGTTTGCGGTTGAATGGCTGATTTCTTACTCGTCTGCGAGGCAAAAAGTCAACAAAAAAAATAGTCAAAAACCAAAGCCGTCTTATTTGCGCGGCGACAACTTCATACCGTTTTACAACCTGCAAATGCACACACAGCCACATACATACATTCTTATCTGCATTGAGCCACACACATACACACACTGGCGGCTTGCCACGAGCAGTCATTGACCGTGCATCGCGTCCACCATATTCTCAGTGGCAGGCACACATTTGCGCTTTTGTTATTGTTGTTGTTGTGTTGGGCATTTATTGACATTTTATGTCCCTATTTAGCGCTAAATGCGCACATAAATAATACAACTGAAACACACGAAACGACCTTTTCGGGCGACCGCCACAAGCGCAAGCTTCTGCAACACTCCATTGGCGCTTACCGTTAAACCTCGTTTGCATGGTGAGCAACTTTATGACACTACTTTTGTGCACTTAAGCCGTTGCGCATGTGTTGTCACTCGCTGTGCACATAAAAATACAACTAAAATAACAAATCGCTTGCAATTAAATCATATAACTAGAATATATTGACATTGGCAATAAATGCAAATCAAATTCATCCGAATCATATCGGCTTGTGGGCTGTAAACTTCAGCATTGA